CTCGGTGGTGGGCTTTGATGTATTGCGCGAGGCTTATGCCGATGATCCATTTTTTGGCCCGATTCTTCGTTCCTTGCGCGACGGTCCCATTCCGGACTACACTTTGTCAGATGGGTTCCTTTTTCGTGGAGTTCGTTTGTGCATTCCTGATGTCAGCCTTCGGCTGAAGCTCATTGGCGACCTCCATGGCGCGGGCCATGTGGGCCGGGATCGTTCGGTCGAGCTGGTGAGCCGCTCGTATTTTTGGCCTAGTCTTCGCCGTGATGTCTCTCGTTATGTGGCTCGTTGTCGGGTGTGCCAGGTGTCCAAGGGTGTGGCGAATAATGCTGGGTTATATAGACCGCTTCCGATCCCGTCCCGCCCTTGGCATTCTATCAGCATGGATTTCGTCTTGGGGTTACCACGCACACAGCGTCAGGTGGATTCTATTTTTGTCGTAGTGGATCGCTTCTCGAAGATGGTCCATTTCATTCCGTGCAAGCGGACTTCGGATGCTGTTCACGTGGCTCTCCTCTTCTTCCGTGAGGTTTATCGCTTGCATGGGTTGCCTTCTTCGATTGTGTCCGATCGTGATACGCGTTTTTTGAGCCATTTCTGGAGAAGCTTGTGGCGTATGGCCAATACCCGGCTCGATTTCAGCAGCGCATATCACCCGCAGACTGACGGCCAGACGGAGGTGGTTAACCGTTCATTGGGTAATCTGCTGCGTTGCTTAGTGGGAGACAATGTACGCACATGGGATCAGCGGTTAGCACAGGCTGAGTTTGCTCACAACTCTGCCGTCAATCGTTCTACGGGTTTTTCTCCTTTTCAGGTGGTGTATGCTGTCAGTCCCCGTGGGCCTTCTGATTTGATCTCTTTGCCTCAGCATGGGGACGGCGATAGGCGCGCCGCCGAGCTCATTTCCGATTTACAGGCCACGCATGCGCGGGCCCGGGACCAGCTCGAGGCATCGACGGCCGCATATAAGCGGCGGGCGGACTTGCGACGGCGCCACGTGGAATTTGACGTGGGCGACTATGTTTGGGCGGTATTGACTAAGGACCGATTCACGAGCCATGAGTACAGCAAGTTGTCGGCAAGGAAGATAGGACCGGTCGAGGTGATTGAGAAGATTAATCCAAATGCTTATCGTTTGCGGCTTCCTTCCCATATTCGCACACATGACGTTTTTAACGTCAAGCATCTGGTTCCCTTTGCGGGGGACAACTCGGAGGAAGACGAGACCCATTCGGATTCGAGGCCGAATCCTTCCCAACCGGGGGAGGATGATGAAGACGAGACCGCCCTAGCCTTTCTCGACAAATTCGACCGTCTACGCATCTAGATTATTCTACATATTATATTTCCTATTATTATTTAGTAAGAGATATTTTATTTCCTTAGGAGTGTTTTATTATTTAGGAATAAATAAGATAATTATCTTGTTGCACAAGATAATTAGGATTAGGATTCTCTTTCATAGGACTCTATATATTGTCCCTCTCTTATGAAGTTTGATCGATGAACATTGAATAAAATTAAGAACTCTTGAGTTTTCTCTTATATTCCTTTCGTCTACCACGTTGCTGCATCAATAACTCATAAGGGCTCGAGCCAAAAAAACGGACACTATTATCATGGTGGACATATCTCAATTAAGCAAATCATTCTAATTAAGCGGATAATATCCTACTAATGGAGTTAATAGAATAAATTCATGACCAAAGAGTTGGATAATAGTTGTTATCCAGAGTGAAAGCAATAGGAATTGATAGTGTATTTCATCCAAACGTACGTAATTTCTTATTCTTAACCAATATCAGAAAATCCTTCCGTTGCACCTCCCGAAGAAAAATAATTGTTTTATGCAACAAATTAAAATAAATAAACCAAAAGATCTAAATTAAACGTGGAATACTTCAACATTTTTCTTTCCCTCGGTCATAATCTGTTATCATGATTAGAATATTCAACTTCACTATCAAACTAAAGAATATCGTAATCTTTTGACATATTTTGCATAATATATTTTGATATTTCCTTTTGAGTAGTACCAACAACAATCTTTTTTATTTTTATTTTTAAATCTAGTAAAAAGAATTACTTTTATAGAAACTTCTAGACAAGATGTTATATTCCCTCGAATAAAATGGGCAATGATTAAATTTAACCTGACAGCTACACGCTTAAAGAATCTGGATCACAATGTACAAATAATCATGAGTTAGAATATTAAGCAATATTTCAAAATTCAAATGATATATCTGACCTAACATAATCGTGTTAATGACACATGTGCTCTTACATATACATACATGTCCAATTGTAGAGTGCCATATGTTAAAATTGTAAGAATATATATACAACTTATTTTTCTAACTATTTTACTTTATTCCTATAAAAAAACAAAAGAAAGATAAAAATAGGTTGCATATATAATATCACACCAACTGAAATAAAAATACAATATATTCCCCCACAAACAAAATATTGAAAGTAACAGATATATTTTTGCCTTTTTTGGCTCAAAATTTCAATGGTACAATAGAAAAACACTGCCACCAGTAGATTTTGGTGGAGAGTATTAAAGAGAATCACACTGGCATGCTAATGTTCTACCAAAGTATTTATTCATAGAATCAAATAATTGCCCAAATAGAATATAATGTTAATGTATATATTTATGTAGGATCAACTGAAAGTTAGATTAATTGGTGCTAGCTAGCATAGAGTACTTACCGACCTCACAAAGAAAGACAAATTACTTTAGCAACTGTCCAAGGTTGTGAGGACTCGAGAAAACTAAGTGAAACGTGGCATCATAACCGTTTGCCAATTGGTATTAAATACAAAGGAATAAAGTTATACTTGGAGAAGAATCTTTATATTTGTGTGTAAAATTTGACGAGCCTCTACAACCGTGGGAATTTCACCTTGCCGGAGTGAACGATGAACCACAAGTGAAAGTGTTAAATGAAACAAGTTGTTTGTGAGCTCGGTTCGAATTGATTCGTTAATGCTCGAGTTTGGTTTGGTTTTTTTTTTTTTTAATAAATGAGTCGAAGTCGAGCTCGTTTAAAGCTTGTTTCGTTAACGAGTTAGGCTCGACTCAGATCGTTAAAGGTCGAAAAGAGAATTTTTATGTAATTTTTGTAGTTTAACTAGTTAACATTTATAAATGAAAAGTAGAGTACGTAGAATATGCAAATGTGCAAAAACATAGTAATAATTAAAAGAAGCAAAAGCGACATTTTAAACAAATTAATCTTAGGAAGCATCCAGTACTTCTCAGAGCTCCTTAATTTATTATTAAATCGGTCGCGCGCACAATGTATATTTTGGAATTACAAGTTAAGGATTTCTTCCTAATCTAGCAGTAATATACTAGAAACTACTAATTACTTCCCTTACCATAAAATGGACTAAATAGCTATTTGGAATACCTCCAAACTAATGAGATACTTACTTGGTTACTTTCTAAAGACTTCTTTAGAGATGCAAGAACGCAAAACTAAATTACTGAATAACTAATTTATTAATATATAAAAAAAGTCTCACGAACTCTCAGAGATTATCTTGAACAATGATATGTAATTGCACCCACTAATCTCTGAGTCTTCTCGATGACATATTTACAATTTTTACGTAGGTAATGCGTTTTCATATTTTCATGTCTTCAACGTCATTCCATACGGTCAACTTCCTTCCAAGTTAGATCCGCTTTTATGTCCGGAGATATTCAAAATATATTTTCATTCCTTATATTAATCGTGCAGTAAAAATGTGAGTTTATTGATTTCCGAATATTGGTCGAGATATTCATCAAGATTTTTCAGCTTGATTCCGATCCTCTCTATATTATTTGTGGCATTTTAATCCAAGTGATCAGCTCGTCATTCTTTAAATAAGACATTCTTCCATTATCAAACCCTGCATTTGTACTCGTGTGGGCACCGTCATATTAATACACATCTACACAGGTGTATATGCACATGTGATTCGATGGTTTGAAATTCGATGTGTGTAGGTTGAATTAGCCCTTTAATATGTACAAATATCCGAAAAAATGAAATTTCATGAGATAACGAAGCTTTGGTCCTTTTTGCATGACACATCGTGTGTGTGTGTGTGTGTGTTTTGTCAATTGTCATAAATACTAACGAGAACAATTATCAACATGCAATAAAGCTTAAATGATAATGTTTGGCCTTTATCCAATGGAATACTAAGTCACAAAGGATAAGTCAAGATGAAAGTGGAATTACCAACGAAGTTAAAAGACGCTGAGAGAATGTATGAGCTGTTAGAGTTTAGAGCCGTGTATATATATATATATGTTGATTAATCATCTTATATATTATCAAATATATATATATATATATAAATTTAAGAAGAGGGTACACTTGTCTGCCTGTGTATTATTTATAAATTGTATAGATGAGAAAAGAAAGAAAAACTGATGCATCATATGGCAAATGTGAAATTATGGCACAAGTGTCATATATCCACATAATCAAGCTCTTTTGATGTAGTCCACACAAATTATCCACTGTCTGTGAGATCATTTATTGACATGGCGTCATTTTATTTTGACACCTGGAATATCAAGGAAGGTAGACAGTTGGAGAATATTGAGTTTTTTCAATTTGTGAGCATAAAATTTTTTCACTATTCGTAGAAATTAGTACATATATAAAATTCATCTTAATTAAGAACCACTAGATAAAACCCATATTTATAATCGGAGAAATATTAAAAAAAAAAAACAATTAATTATGTCGCAAATTTCTGCTAAATTTATTTCGGGTACATATATTTCAAGTGCGACGTACCCAACAAAAAAAGTGGTGCATGGTTGTCATCAACTCGTAAGGTGATGGATTAGGTGTTCAAACATTGTACAATCTTTAATATTTATTAAAAAAGTGAGAAGTCAGAAGGATTACTTTTTATCCACATGAACAAAAGATGAAATTGTGGTGAAGGTTTTTATGCTCTAACAAAGGATAAGTTAAGATGGAGAGTAAGTGCAAAAAGAAATGATTGGACGCAGGAGTAAGAAATTTAGAGTAGTGGATGAAAAAAAAGTAACAACATGCGATTTTACACACCATGGAAAAGATATAACCACACACGTCAAAACTACAACATTTTCCCAGATAAAGAATTTCAAGACTCGGCAAAGAATGTAAATTGTATAGCAGGTTTATATACGGCGTAAATTTGAGCATCATCAAGAGTTGGTTAGTGGTGGTGATTGGCTCTTTTGGCGGCTCGTCTCTTGTTCTGGATGTGGCGGACATGCTCGGCAACTATGAGATGGAGCTTTGGGGTGAGCTTACTTGTTGAGGACACGTTGAGACCAGCCTTCTTGAGAGCACGCACCATATGCTTCTCTGCCTTTTCAAAGTGCATAGGGCAATATGAAGGGACGCTCGATTTCATTAATGGCCTCCCGCAGAGTATAGGTCCTGTGGCAGAACTGAAAAATGCAATGGCAAAAGATAAAATGGAAAAAAGATATCAAATTTTGGCCGAAAGAGTTTTACAAGTAGAGACGAATATAAAAAATAAATAGGGCTTTGCTGAGATTCCATCAGGATATATATTATGGTTGTTATAATAAGTCATAACAATGAAACTTGGTTCATCCAATGAGTTTGATCATCAGAAGAAGAAGTGATAGTGTACATAAAAGGAAGAAACAGACAATTTTCAGAAAACAAAGGGGAAATAAACTAACGAGGAGGATTTTTTTTCATCCCATATATATGACATCCAGTAAATTATAGATCTTTTCAAACATCATCTTTGCAAAACAACTGAAATGCTCGTTTGATAAAAGTTTAAATGGTTATAAGTAACAGCTTAAGAGTATGCATAATGCCCGCCATGAAAGCATTAGATCTAAATGCAACATCTACAAGCAACAGGAGAAGATAAAACAGGCTTTTACGCCATGACCATCAGAATACGTCAAATATACATCACGGTAAAATGCTCCTCCACAAGATGACTACATCAAGTAACCTAAACCTTCATTTAGCTGAGTGCTGACATCCTAATGGAAGCAGTGAGAGAGAGAGAGAGAGAGAGAGAGAATTCTATATAATAAACTTAACTATCAATTCTATATAATAAACGGAAACTTCCTTGAAGGACAATTACAATAAACCAGCAGAACCTCATTACAAATGTCCTCATCCTTGTTTGCCTTCTCTTATCAATTTGACATTAGTCTCGGTGGTGGCAAAGACATCATCATCCAGCGAATTTGATGAAATTGAATAGGGGCATAAACAACAGACGTATATATTCCAGAATTTCTGAATCACACTTACACATTCGTAGACAGGAAAAAAGTTATGCAAGAGGCGAGAATTCCCTGAAAGTTAGCAAGAGGCATGACGAGGCTAACCATACTTGATTGCCTTCCTAGTTTCTTCTCAACAATTCCAAAAAACCTCAGCACATAGTAAGATGGTCATAGTAGTAAGTTACCCAATCAGGTATCCCTCTTGTGCAAAGTCAAAAGAATAAAATTGACCAAAGAGTGCTATAATGGTAACTTGATAGAGTTCGTCTGTGAAACGGAAAAAGTAGCATTCCAGACATACACACAGTAAAATATAAATAATTAAACACGAGAAGTTATGGTACTAAATAATTTGGAAAAGGGCTCCTCCCCACCCCCCAAAAAATGAAAACCAAATGAAAGTAGAAGCAATGCATAAGCTTGTCAGCTTAAGAAACAACATTTTTACTGCTTTTTATTGTTACATAATATCATATAGCAAACAAAATGGGTCGCACTATACCAACTGGTCAAGTAAATTGCACATGACCGTATATGTCACATAATATCATGGTAACTAAGAAAGTGATACACATCAGTTCGATTTAGAACCACAGGGTAGTAGCAAAATTCAATATGAATTAAGAATATCGAGCAGGTATCATAAGAATCGGTTATACAACCAAATTATCGTCTGCCTGTCCTGCAATATATTATTATCTCCTAAAGCCATACAATCAAACATTTGAATCACCACTCAAAATAGTAGAAGATGAGAGATCAATTGGATTTGTGTAGTAGAACAGACACTACAGTTTGATTCAAAACAACAAAACACTTCATAAATAGGCACCAATGTAGAAGCATGCTAGGTCTAAGTTCAAATCAATGTCAATAAGTTCAAAGAAAACAAACCTCTTTATGGAGAAAGTGCAACTCTCGTAGAGCTTCTGCTTCGCATCAGACGTTATATGCATATGGCAAAACCTCGTCAAGGCCATCGCCTTGGCCTTGCACCCATGGACCTCACACCTACCGCTAACCCTACCACTAGCATTCCCACCATTCACCCCAAAGTTCCCATGGCTGCCATTTTCACCAGGCAAGGCAGCGTAATCCCCGCGGCTCGCGTTGTTTCTCTCGTTCTCCTCATCCTCCAAGAAGGGGCCTTTCCCGTACTCCCAGTAATACTCCCTGTATTTCAGCTTGAGCTCCTCCATTAACGCCCAGTATTGGTCTCGGTAAATCCGACCGAGCTGTTTCACCCTACGGGCTCGGCGATTGAGGAATTCGGATCGGGTCAGGAACTCTGATTTTGATAGGGTTGCGTCTTGTTCGGATCCGTCGATGCGGATAGGGCCGGAGGAGGACGAGGCCGACGGGTCGAGCATCTCGCAGGCGTTCGATGGCGGCTTGGTTTCGGTTTTCAGATAGAGGGGGGCGGCGGAGTGGTGGTTAGGGCCACCGGCGGCGGCGAGATTTGCGGTGGGCATCGGAGAGGGTGGGTTCTGCGTGTGCCAGTCAAATCAGTAGTGGAAGTGTAAACAATATTAAATTAACAATATTATAAATAGATCTCGAGTTTGAGTCGAAAGTGTAAACTACTAGAAAGAAAAAAAATAATTATAAATTAGGGAGAAGCATAAACAATACTTAATAATTATAAATTAAAGATTCAATGTAAAATTATCTATCATTATATAAAAAGAATAACATTTTTACAAATTTAGAAACATTTTCCCTCTAAAATCATTAAATATATTCTACATATAGTAATTGTTGCACAAATCTGAATAGGCAAAAAAATCGGCTCATTAATTGTGTAAAGATTTGTTTCTTTTTTTCCTGTTTTTTAGTTTATCAAAACGTTGTTTGAGAATAAATATTTATTTTTCTTTTTCCTATTTTTAGTATAAATCTACACGAGTTTATCTCTTTTGTTACAAAATCTCATTGCATAAGTCTCACGTCTCATCCCTTATCTATAGAGATTTGATAAAATAAAATAAAATAGAAACCAATTCATAATTACTACTAGAAATTCATTATCTACTTTAAGAAACCAATTTTCATCGATCTAATTACTAATATTTTTACAAATATTATAAGCTAACCATACAAAAAAGTATAATAATAATTTTGAAATGGTGTGTAATCAAATTTTTTTATATTATCTTTATACAGAATAATTTTACATTGTTTGACCCCGAATCTTTAATTTATAATTATTAAGTATTGTTTATCCTCCTCTTTAATTTATAATTATTTTTTTTCTTCCTCTTTTTAAATAGGATCAATAGTAGTTTACACTTCCGCTATTGAGTGACTCAAACTAGAGGTCTATTTATAATATTGTTAATTTAATATTATTCCCGTGCATCGCACGGGCTACACACTAGTTTTGTATAAAGAGAATATAAAAAAATTTCATTACACACAATTTTAAAATTATTATTATACATTTTTGTATGGTTAGCTTATAATATTTGTAAAAATATTAGTAATTAGACCGATGAAAATTGGTTTCTTAAAGTAGATAATGAATTTGTAGTAGTAATTATGAATTGATTTCTATTTTATTTTATTTTTTTAAATCTCTATAGATAAGGATTGAGACGTGAGACTTATGCAATGAGATTTTGTAACAAAAGAGATAAGCTCATGTAGATTTATACTAAAAATAGGAAAAATAAAAATAAATATTTATTGTGAAACAACGGTTTTGATAAACTAAAAAACAAAAAAAAAAGAAATAAATTTTTACACAATTAATGAGCCGATTTTTTTGCTTATTCAGATTTGTCCAACAATTACTATATGTAGAATATATTTAATGATTTTGGAGGGAAAATGTTTTTAAATTTATAAAAATGTTATTCTTTTTATATAATGATAGATTTATACACAAATAAACAAAATAATATTATTTTTAATGAAAACCCATAATATTAGGCAAAAAGATAAAAAAACAGAACCTTCAATCGTATGCGCTCATCCCTGAAATAAACGGCACAATCACAACCATATCTTCTCCGTCGTAAGACGGCAACTGCTCCGCCGGTGATTGGCTGCTCAACAACCATTCATATACAGCTGCTGAGGAACTCACTAATACACCCACAAGGTACGATAAATGGCGCCGTTCATTGGTTGCATATGCAGTGGTCTTGAGCGTCACTGTTCACTCGATTGCCTCTCTTTTATACTTTTTTTGTTTAAAGTAAGTGTCGTTCTTTACCAAATAAATTGTGGGTATTGTTCGTTCTTCGTAATCATTTGGTTACGATGTGGTATGAATCATTTTGCTGCTTTATTTCAAGTTCTTGAGCATTAAGTGTTCGATGAAATGCTTGAACTAAATTAGTTGTGCATTTTTCCTTTGTTACCGATACATCAACAGAGTTGCTGTATCGCATGGATTCAGTTTTGTTCTTCCTTCCTTTTAATTCATTTGAATCTTTGATTGATAAATGTTGTCTTGGTGTAGATGTCAGCCTACGCAAATGATGCAAAATGAATCTTGTCAGCCCATGATAGCTTACACAACAAATGTTAATGTTTAGGAAAGTGAGGTGTTTGAATCAATTTTTGAATCTATGTCTCGGTAGAATCTCCAAATGCCCGTCCACCGCCGGTGGGGCCCACACCCCTTATAACCCTTTTTACAGACAGACTACATTGCGCCGTGAATTCAGACATTCTTCCCATGATTTCACAACTTCTGCTGGGCCTGTTTTGGTCCAGGCCCGGGATACGGGTAAACTTCACGAGGATCTTGAGACCGCAATCAGTGAGCACAGACTCGAGGATGCATGGGATTTGCACGAGCAGCACATCCGTGTGGAAGGTTTTGCTAGGAAATCTGTTTTCTGCAAGCTGATTGCTAAATCAACCGAGAGTTCAGATATTAAGTGGCTCGGAAGGGCTTATGCACTTGTCGAGAAAGCCATTGAGGAGCACAAGCAGACTTTATTCGATAAAAACACACTCGTCTATCTATCCCTGGGCCTCGCTAAATTTGGGCTACCAATACATGCATCAACTATTTTGAGAAAGCTCGTTGAAATGGAAGATTTCCCTCCAGTGGCAGCCTGGTCGGCTATAATAGCCTACTTGTCGATAAATCCACCCGGATCCTATTTAGCTGCCGAGCTCGTTCTCGAAATTGGTTACTTGTTCCAGGATGGGAGAGTCGACCCTCGGAAAAAGTGTAACGGGCCTTTGCTGTCTATGAAGCCCAGCCCAACTACTTTCAACATTGCTTTGGTGGGGTGCCTTCTGTATGGCACCACCCGGAAGGCTGAGCAGCTTCTCGATATGATACCTAGGATTAATATGAAACCTGATGCAGTAACTCTAATAATAACGGCCCACATATTTGAAAGAAATGGCAGAAGGGACGAGCTGAAAAAGCTCAGGCGACATATCGAGGAGGTTCCGAGCATAAACGATACTCAGCTTCGACAGTTCTACAGTTGCTTGCTTTCGTGTCACCTTAAATTTGGGGATTTGGAGTCTGCCTCTAGCATGGTTCTTGAAATGCTCCGTAAGGCGAAAAAGGCTAGGGATTCTCTTGGCGTGGCTAATTTATTGTTCGAGGCTGATAAAAGAGGTGCATCACAGTCTCGGGATGTTTCGATCAAGGATTCGTGTGATACGAAACCTGATACACCGGTAAACGGGAGTGAGTTTTTATGTTATGAAGAGTTTTGCCGTGATAGAAAGTACTCGAAGCTCGAAGCTGAGACGAAGGCGATACTCGACAGTTTGGTGGAGAAACTACAGGGTCGAGTCGAGCTGGTCACCACTGAAAGAGGCATACTCAAGCCAACCGAGCAAGTGTACATGAAATTAGTCAGAGCTTTCTTGGAATCCGGAAAAATAAAGGATTTAGTCGAGTTTTTAACCGAGGCGGAAAAGGAAGACTCCCCTGTAGTATCCACCGATAGCTCGATTTTATTCCATGTCATCAACTCGTGCATTTCCTTGGGCTGGTTGGATAAAGCGCATGATCTCTTAGATGAAACGCGCCTAGCTGGCATCCGAACCCCTCCATCCGTCTACAATTCCCTTCTCAAAGCTTACCACAGAGGAAATCGAGCAAATGAGATGAAATCTTTAATACGGGACGCCCGAAGGGCCGGCGTCCAGCTGGACGCGTCTTCCTACGAGTCTCTGATCGAGTCCCGTGTGCTCGAAAACGACACGGGTGGGGCCCTCAGCCTGTTCAAAGAGATGAAAGAAGCCAAGATACCCAGAGTTGAACAAAAAGACTCGAAAGAAGACCGTGTAATGTCGAAACTGCTTCAAGAGATAAAAGAAGGACAGGGAGCTGACAACACAGCCGTACACGACTGGAACAACGTGATTCACTTTTTCTGCAAGAAACGGCTGATGCAAGATGCCGAGAAGGCCTTGAAGAAGATGAGGAGCCTGGGCCATTCCCCTAATGCACAGACTTTCCACTCGATGGTCACGGGATATGCTGCGGTTGGCGGGAAATATGTGGAGGTGGCTGAATTATGGGGGGAGATGAAGTCTATTGCTTCGGCTAGTGGGATGAAGTTCGATGTGGAGCTTTTGGATGCTTTGCTTTACACGTTCGTGAGAGGAGGGTTCTTTGCTCGGGCGAATGAGGTGGCGGAGATGATGGAGAAAGGACAGATGTTCGTGGACAAGTACAAGTACCGAGCACTGTTCTTCAAGTACCACAAGACGATGTATAAAGGAAAGGCGCCCAAGGTGCAGACTGAGTCCCAGTTGAGGAAGAGGGAAGCTGCTTTGGCTTTCAAGAGATGGGTGGGTTTGTGAAGAAAGGAGGGATTTTTTTTATTTTTTATTTTTTTTGATAGAGAGAGTAATGATTATTAGTTAATTATTAAGTTAGTTTGTCTGGATTTTTTTTTTTACAAAAGTTGAAGAAAGTAAGTTTACTAACATATGGTGACACCAGCAACTTTTCAGGAGCTTTTAACTTGTCAAGCACATTCTAGCCTAACTTATTCTTTCAATCATCATTCATCACTAATAAGAATGGACTACAAGAAGGCTCAAAGTAAAGAGTAAACACCCATGTATATATATAATTTTCCTTGTCTTTCACAAGGACAAGTTCTTGTGTAAATGGAGAATTAGGGATATGTGCTCATAATACATTACCATTTGCTCATATGAAAACAATACAATTATCTAACTATAAAAGTACAGAGAGTAGTACAGAGAGTGATTGCTACTGAAGAATGGGGTGTGACTACAATTTATACGAACAATCCATCACCTTGGAAGTATGCTGCATCTTATTGATGGCTTTTTTATCAGATACTCCTAACCACTTTTGAATGAGTTGAAATACTTTCTCATCGGCTAGAAGTTCCCGGTGGCTTGCACAAACTCCGACTCGCTCAACCGCATCTAAATTGTCTGCCTGCAAGAAGGCAAGATTCGTGTTATATCTCCGGTTTTATGGAAGTGCATAGGTATTTATTCATAAGGGATCGCGACTCGTGAGAAAAATTAATTTTACAGAAATACATTAAATTTTAAATTACAACTCGCCACTGCAAAATTATATGATCGGAGTAGAATGATTAGCGATACGGTGAGATGATACCGTACCATTGCTGACTCAGAAGGGACGGTTCCATCACCATCTACACAAGTGTATTCAGGCTGAAATCCACATAAAGCATTTACTATAGTTGGTAAAGTGAAGGAAATTATATATGCGTGAAATTTACAAGCCAAGCATGGAAATAAATGCATACCAATATAGGTAGATGTAAGGTGAATTTTGAGTATTAATAGTCAGTTTGCGGAACTCAAAATAAAGACATCAGAAATAATGTATATCAGAACTCAGAAGCTATGCAAGAGAACAAGATAAATGAGATGAATAAGAGAGTTTTGCTTTCTTACCATCGTGTGACATATTTCCGATAGTTCATCAATCGGCTTAGACTCTGAACCATAGCTGAGAAAAAGGCGAGAGGGTTTAAGCAGATGTAAATATCTAATAACACATTCAATACTTATGTTCAAGCACTTTCATGTTTGAAGTAGTCAGGTCAGCTTCATTTAGGGAGTGTTTGCTGTAAAAATAATTTCATCAAGGAGAACCGATTTATTTTAAAAGAATTGTAAAATGGAAAGTAGTTAACAAGTTAAGTTTTTAACTTTTTATCGAAGTAGGAGTGGACACCTAAAAGCACTAGAAAAACTTTTACTACGCAAAAACAGACAAGCACCTTATTTGAATGCTTGCAGACAATTCCCAAATGAATCTAAGAATTAAAAATCAAGCAAATGGACAGTGCCACTCACCAAACATCAAAAGGTGTTTCAAAAGATGTTCCGTATATGCTATAAAAAGAAACTCCATCTGGAAGTTGGGTTTTATTCAGAACTTCCCGTGTGCCAGCAGCCCAATTAAGGATCGCAAAGTTGAAAGGAAGTCCTACTGTTTTCCCATCATAATTTAGCTGCAATACGAAAAGAAAGATTACTATGCATGATAGCCTCATACAAGGATGTGGTTCAATATGAATATGATCGAAACATTTTTTAAATGACCCAGCTAACAAAATATGTTAATAAAAATAAGGGAAAAAAGCGTTAAATTTGAGCAATGAATTTGTTAATCACAAAAGTGTGATGAATTGTGAATAACAGAAGAAATGGACTTGGTTTATCAACTAATTACTAATAAAGACTATCCACACTAGAACATAGATTTTAATTAACATTTTCTTTAAAATGGAACAAAAAGGAGTACCTCGTTGTTTTTCAATGCCTCCTCGAAAAGTGTGATGCATCCATTGGTGTCATATGAGACCAGTTCAACTGAAGCTTCTTCATCCTCACAATGCTTTCTCCATACTTGAACCTGAGGTTGCTTTTTCCAGTTGAAATTGGGATTTGGTAACATCTCGTAAACAGATGGGCACTCCACCAGCTGAACATGAGCCAAGTGAGTAAACAATTAGATAAATAAATAAAAGCCAGGAAAAAGTAGCCAGAAAGAAGAGTGCCTTTTAACATAGAGAAGCATTAATCACATAAACTAGTCGATCAAGAATCAAGATTTAGCTCAATTACTCTAGAAAAAAGGACTATCTAGCTAAAATAAAATGGTCAGTATATTTTACTCTGCTCGGAAGCTATTTGTTGAACAAATACTATCCTCAGGCTCAGAGGGGGGTTGTAATATTTACTCCAATACTTAAAAATAAAATAAGAATAAATAATATATTTCATATGTATTAACAAAATGCAGCAAGCAGATTACCAGTTGATGCATTGACCACCGTGATACAAAAAAGAAACTTTCAAATCCATCAACAAACTGCAAACCGGTAAGTATAGAGTCATTGATGCATCCTGGTGCACCTGTTGAGAAAATGTTAATGTATTAAGAGATTTCCAACCATCACAAGGCTCGGTAAAATCCTGATTGGTGGCCTTTTTCCAATTATCTATCCTCGCTGAATATAACTCTTTCAATAAACTTGAAATACAAAAAGGGGGGAAATAAAAAGATAATAGAACACTATTTAGATCATGTTTAGCACTAAAAAAAAATAGATAAATGAATAGGCAAAAATCATGCGTGGCACTCAGAGAAAGGGCGCAACAAGTACTCTACCTTGGAAGGGAGTGGCGATTGTAATCCACTTATTTACGTATGTGGAGAAAATCTGCAGTTACATTTCACAATTGTGAATAAGTGAAAGTATAGTTTACACTTTAAAGCACTAAAAGGAATTTGGCAGGCCGAAATGTAACTAATGATTGATCATACATTGCTATGAAGAGATATGAAACACGACACCAGCAATCCACCCATCGAGTGTGATATTATGTTAACTTTCCTTCCCCGTGAAGCATTATATGCAGCCACCAGTTTATCTTTGAGGCCATCCATTAGCTGACCTATTCTGCAACACACAAAGGAAAAAACAAAATATTAGGAAAATAAAAGGGAATATATCATCATCACCATAACATACGTCTATAATAAAAACGGAAAGATAAGGTGTAACTGCTTCAGTTTAATGAAGAAAACTACCTATTGCTTTGCCGAAAATCATAACCATATCCGAACAATGTTGTCCCTTTCTTATACCCGCATCCAACAAGCATTTCAATCATATCATGAAAATGGTACAGGTCGCTCAAATGCAGAAGCTTTACAAGCTAAAATCATGGAATATTAAATTAGACACTTACATACGGATGAATTTAAGACCAGATACAATCTTATAAACTAAGCAAATATGCATTAAGCCATGCTAGATGGCTCACATTCAGAAGATGAACAACACAATCTATCGATTTTCCATACAAAAAGAAAAAACCCAATCAGAAAAACAGGGACAAGAACAAATGAGTTCAGACAAAGCAAACAATTGATTAAAATATAGAAGCCAAATTAAAAATAGACAAACAGCACATGATAACTAAAGAACGGCTCACTAAAGAAGGGTCCAGAATGTCAATGGCGTAAAGCCCATAATCATCTTGAGGCACTACTATTTCGGTACTATCATCCAGTGACTCTGTATACCCTGCCAAAGGGAAGGACAAAAAAAAAGAAAAAAAGAAAATGAAAAAACACCATGAACACAAGAGACAATTATGGAGTATTTGCAAAACCAGCAAGCAGTTTAGAATAGAAGTTTGTAGCTTTAGCATGTCGAAGCAAGAAATTCTTGCACTAAGTGAATCACAAACAAAAACCCACATAAGCAGACACTAACAAATATCCTCAATAATTTTCCTAAGCTAAGAGGCACAACAGTGAATTATGGAGTGTTTGCAAGCAGTTGAGAATCAAAAGTTTGCAGCTTCAGCATATAGAAGCTAGAAATTCGTGAACCAAGTGAATCGTAAACGAAAGCCCACATAAGCAAACACTAAACACTGTCAATTGTTTTTCTCCCAAGCTAAGATAAACTATACTTTAAACCTCGAACAAATGTGAAGCTCAACAGAACAAAACCCACAAATAAGCAAAAGAAAAGAACAAAATCAAACCTGTGTCTGCATTATAAATGGACCAGAGCTTCTTCTTGAACACTAGGTCGGCCAACAGAATCCGAACCCAAACCCGGGTCTCGGACCCGGAACTCTTCTTCTTCGAGTGGAGGATCGACCCGGCTATGCCCGACACCAGGAGAACCGGGTCGCGGTCGGCAACTTCTTCCGGGTCGGAGCCCCTCGGTTTGTTAAGGCAACAGCAGAGATAATCCATGAGCATTCTTCAGTCGGGCCCGGGAGAGTTCGACCCGATTCAGGGTTTTTCTTGGATTGTACAGTTTTTGCAGTTGGAAGTAGTTGGGTGCTTTCTAGGTGCTGCTGCTCATAAACTCAACTTGCTACCTTAGCACAAGCCATTTGGAACCACCAAAATCCATCCCAATGGAGTTTTAGAGCATCTCCAATGGATCTTTGTCTATTTTAGATAGAATGGCATTAAGAAAGGAGATTAAAAAATTGTATCTCCAATAGTTAGTGTTGAAAATTATTTAATTTGACATGTGCAAAATTTTAATTGGTTGATAAAAAAAAAATTGAATAAATAATATAATATATAATAGAAGTTGTCTAGAAGTACTTCTACATCTAGAATGACTTCTAGAATTTTTTTATGCCACATAATTTTTTTAGTGCCACGTGACAATAAAATAAAGCAATCCAAAGGCCATTGGAGATGCTCTTAGTTGACTCTCTTGTTTGGATGCTAACAAAATAAATAATATTATAGGAGCATATTTTTTTAATAGAATTTTTAAAATTTGGTATATTTGATTAACATTTATTACATTTTTTTTTGAAAGTATGAAAATTATTCATTTGAAAATTATAGAAGACGACATTCCACCTTTGTATTTGATTAAAAAGTCAATTTTTTTTTTTGTTAGTTTGTGATCTTGTTTGATGTTTTTTAGAGTTAATTGCAAATTTGGTCCCGTTAGATTGGGACGTTCGCAATTTTAGTCCCAAGAGGCGCAATTTCAGTCCTTACCTAATTTTTGTTGCGCAATTGGTCCCAAATCTAACTGACCGTTAAGTCACCGTTAACTCTAAGGACTAAAATTGCAATTGTGGGACTAAATTTGTAATTTTCTCATATTTGATATATATAAAATAACTTTTTGTTTTTATTTTTATTTTTTATAATTTTATTCACCTCTAGAGTTATATTTTTATTTTTTATCAACCACTATAATCATAATAAAATTAAATGGTGATTTTTTAAATATATTTATTATTTAATTAAAAATATTTGAAATATAGAAAACATTGTATTGCAATTAAAATTTTTAATATATTAATAATGATATAAATTTAATTTTATTTGAATTTATATATATAAAATATATTTAAATTTATATTTTTTATATTAAAACATATATAAATATTTTTGTTATATATCAAATATGAATTTAAAAAATATGATTTAATAAAAAATATTTTTGGCATATATCAACTATGAATTTAAGTTTATATTTGTGTTATATTAAAAATATATATAAATATGAATTTAAAAAATATATCAAATAATAAAATTGACCAGTCCGATCAACCAATTTAAAATTATATATCAAATATATCAAAAATAAAAATATATAAATATGAATTTAAAATTATATATCAAATATATATACACACACACACACACACACACACACATATATATATATATATATATATATACAATTGACCAATCTGATCAACCAATTCTGTCTGGTTCATTGAAAACCAGTTCTTTCAAATGAATCCAATCATTTGACCGATTCTAAAAATTAAAAATAATAGTAGTTGATTTTATTTTTATTTTTATTTTACGTTTTAAATTTTTATTAACCTCTAAAATTATATTTTTATTTTTTATCATCCAATATAATTATAATAATATTAAATAATTATTTTGTAAAAATATTTATTATTTAATTAAAAATATTTTGAATACATAAAACATAATAATATAAATTCAAATATATTTGAATTTATATATATCAAATATATTTAAACTTATATTTTTGTTATATTAAAAAATATAAAATTTATTAACTTATTTAAATATATATATTATTGACCAGTCCATTCAACTAATTCTAATCGGTTCATTGGAATCAATCCGTTTAAAGGAATCAAACCGTTTAGTTGACCAATTATCGATTCAACAACAAGTTTGGCCGAGCTTTCAACCAATAGTAGTTGGTATTACTTCTATTTTTATTTTTATTTTTATTTATAAATTTTATTAACCTCTAGAATTCTATATTTCTAATAAAATTAAATAATTACTATTTTTTAAATATATATATTATTTAATAAAAATTAATTTTAAATATAGAAAACATTGTATAGCAATTATTATTTTTTGTCTCAAAACTAAATTTTTACTATCAAATATTGTTATATACTCACGGAATAAAAATTGCAACAAAAATTAATAATAAAACTATTTTTTTAAATATTTGGGACTAAATTTCCAACAAAACCAATCTTATGGGACTATATTTGCAATTTTTTCAATATTTGTGACTAATGACAAACGGTGACTTAACGTTCAGTTAGATTTGGGACCAATTGCGCAACAAAAATTAGTTAAGGATTGAAATTGCGCCTCTTGGGACTAAAATTGCGAACGTCCCAATCTAACGGGACCAAATTTGCAATTAACTCTGTTTTTTAATTGCGTTTTTGTTTGTCGAACTGTAAATAGTTTATGACTCCAATTAGAAATAACTAGTATTTTGTGGCCTTGGTGCGGAGATTTGAATCGAGTTAGAAATAATCGATGTTTTATGACGTAAGTGGAGATATGTTGAGATCCGAAATATGATTCCTGAATGAAAGAAATTATAATCAAAGTTCTTACATGAGTCCNCAAAGTCATTATCCAATAAATTAAATTCAGTATAAAAAAAATAAAAAAACATTTACATGATTGCTTTTGTTGCAATCCCATTGTTAGTCATACCATTTTGTATGTTGTTATATAGTCTGGCTTATACATTTTATGCATAATTAAATGATGGTCATAGACGAACGTGGATCCCATTAAGTCTTCATCTATTGTCAAGCGACGTAAATACTCGTAGTCACCAACGGTTTCTAGTTTCATCTAGACATCTTAATTACGTGTGTCATTTGATTAGTAGTAACTAAGTACTACTTCCTCCTATTTATAATAAGTGTCGTTTTGGGAAGTTGCACACTAATTAAGAATAATTTTTTTGTCAATAATAACCCTCATTAATGAAGATAGAGATGGATGTTTTAAAAAAAAGATGAAGAGAATATGAAAAGACGTAGTGTATTTATTAACTAAATGAGGGTAATAATGGAAAAATATGTACAAAAGATCCAAAACGACATTTATTTTGGTTAATCTATAGTAATATAAAGAGGTTGTTGGAAAAATACTTTTATAGTAAGTTTGACTAAAAAATAAATGGTTTGACTTACTATTAGTCGAAATTTCGAAAAAAACACATGTACCAAAAAAATTGAGATTTTTATGGTAACAAATTTGGAGATTTTTATGGTAACAAATTTAATTGAGATATCCCAAAAAAATTGGAGATTTTTATGGTAACAAACTTGGAGATTCCTATACCAAAATTTAATTCATTTTAAATATTAATCCATAGAAATCTACTTTTATTGGTAACAAATTTGAAGATTGTTATGCCAAAAAATTGAGATTTTGAATTGAGATATTCCAACAATTACGGATTTTTTTCCATTCAAATTAATGCTGTAAATCAAACAAAAAATTATTCCAAAAATAATGGATGTTATACCAACTATTGATAAACTCCAATCCCATAGGAGATTTCTATAGGATTCTTATGTTAACAAATTGGAGATACTTATGACAAAAAATTGAGATTTTGAATTGAAATATCCTAACAATTTCGGATTTTTTCTCCTTCAAATTCATGTTATAAATCAAACAAAAAATTATTCCTTGAATAATGGATGCTATACTAAATATTGATAAACTTCAATCCATAGGAAATTTTTATGGGTTTCTTATGGTAACAAATTGAAGATTCTTATGGTAACAAATTTGGAATTCTTATACCAAAATTTAATTCATTTTAAATATTAATCCCATAGGAATCTATTTTTATTGGTAACAAATTTGAAGATTATTATGCCAAAAATTGAGATTTTGAATTGAGATATTTCAACAATTACAGATATTTTTTCATTCAAATTAATGCTGTAAATGAAACAAAAAATTATTCCGAGATAATGGAATGTATACTAAATTAATATCACTGGGCCCACACGTTAATATGATATTAATTAGATAGATAAATTACGTAAATCTTTCCTAACAAAATGCGTTCCAATATTGTTAACCAATTTAATGGGATTTCGTTAACTAATTTGATAGGATTTTAATAACCACGGGATTTTGTTAGCTTTTCATGGAAACACGTATCTTCATTATTGATAAGGTTTGATAAGACTTTGTTTCCAATTTTTTTTGTTTTTTTTTCCTCTCTCGAAAATTTGATAAGGTTTGATAAGATTTTGTTTTTTTTTTCTCTCTCTCGAAAATTTGAGTTGTGGATTTGAAAAAAAATAAATAAAAAAATAAACATATCATATTGATAAAGTTTTAGTGTGGGCATAAAAATCAATTTTTATTTGATTGAACTTTGTTTCATATAAACCTAAGATAATCAGACGTTTGGAAAAAATAAAATATTAATAGTAAATAATCATACCATATTTGTAAGGTTTGATATGGAATATTAAGGCATGATGGATTTGTCCAAATAAATAGGAAAATACCAAAATAAAAATATTATTTTTCAATCTATCCAAAAAGTCTTACCAAATTTCGTTGTAACAAACTCCATTATTTTTAGCTACATAATCTTCTAAATATTCATTCGTCCTTCACAAGTGAATCACGTTCCACATTTTTTTATAACAAAACCGATACCACATATTTTTAGAAGTCAATCATAATCATAATAAAAAAAAATTGGATCAGATCATATTAAATACCTTACGTAAATATTTTTTTATTTCCCAGACATATGGCACATACACATGACTATATAAACATCATCAACGTTGAACAAAAAGTATTCGACATCCAATATATCCCACAAAACAATTTTTTCTACAGACTTTTACATCACCATTGAAAATGGCTTCGGATGTTGGAGTAATCAAGGATATCAAAAGATCCAATAAGCCACCAATTAAGCTACGCATAATTAAGATGTTCCAACGAGTTGAAGACGTACGCAATTACCGAAATGTTCTTGAGATTATCTTTTATAATTTTGAGGTGATATATTCTCTTAGTATTATTTAAATACATCATTTTATTCAACATCTTTTATAATTTATTTATTGAATTATTCATTTTGCAATGTTTTAGGGAGGACGAATTACTGGCATAATTCGAC